CGAGGGGAGTGGCACCAACCACCAAAGGCTGTTGTCCCCACCCGTCACACTGCAGTCAGTTGCTCTGCTGCCCGCTAGCATCCCCCCATCAGCGTGACACAGGCTGTGTGATGAAAAGAACCGTGAATGGCTTGGAGCCATCCGACTGTTTTATTCTCCTCGCTGTCAACAAACCTACAGACTTCTGTTTAGGACAGATGGATGAAACCCCCCCCCCCCGGGAAAATTTCTACCCCCCCCCCCCGTGAAAATCTCTGAAAAGCTCTGTTACCGTAATTAGAAATGAGGGGCAGGCAGAAGAGGATGTATTTCCCAACCTCCAAGGTCAAGAAGTGACACCAAAATTCACTTGAGCAGCATACATTCCTCCATTCCTCTAGCCTGGGCTGACAATAAATCCCTGCCAGTGCTCATCTCAGCTTTGGCAACGTTACAGCTCAACACTATTCCAAAAGTGAACTGGCTGCTAGCCCCATTCCCCAGAAGTCCACTACAAAGGCAAAGCAGCTACGTAGATTTCATCAAGCAGCAACCTAGGTACAAGAGCAGAACAGCTCTCACTGGCCTTCCACCTGCTGTAGCTCTCCTGCGATGGTGAACAGAACAGAGACTAGTAACCGAGCCCGAGCAGCATCCGTGACTCCCAGGGCAGGTACTGCCCCCGTAGTGATGGATTTTGGGTAACTGTTTGCTTTTGCTGCTGACAGACAGGACCCACATCTCCACAAACCACCCTGAGGATCTCTCCCCACCCAGGCTCACGCTGCAAAGCCTCTGCACCGTCTTCCTTCCCCACATCTGACAGCCAGCACTCACCGAGCACCAACATCTTCCGGATGGGAAGATATTCCAGCTGAGGAGAGCAGTCTGGGGGATGTCTCTGCTACACAAATGGGAGCAACAAGGCCAAAGCTATCAGAGTTCGGGGGTTTCTAGCACCCTGTGTAACACGAGGGGCAAAACTCAGAAGTCGTGAGCAAGAGTTAGCCAAGATCATCCACTGAAAGGTGAAACTGAGGAGCTGCAGGAAGCAAAAGCCTAGAAACAGATAACCTGTACTGTCCAAGAAGGCAAGGCCAAGTCAAACTGACTGGCTGGAGAGGAGCAGCCTTTCACCAGAGGAAGTGGGGATGCAGGACAAAGGGCTGGAGTGGACAGGGAACTAGTTAAGATGCAAGGCAGTAAGGAAGGTGGAAAGCCCACCCTCAAGCTTTATTTTTGTCTTCCCTAACTTGGTGGCTTTTCCATTGCATTCACAAGATACATCTGAGCAGAGAGGCTCAAGGTGGGGAAAAGGAAGAGGAGGAGAGGAAGAGAGAGAGTGTAAAGGGCACCACAGTGCCAAAGTGCAACAACATAAAAAAATAAAAGACAGGACACTCATTCTGCACTCAGGGCTCATACCATGCAGTAAGAGGGGCGGCCGGGGCTGCTCCCCACCAGTAAACAGGGAGTTCGCTCGCTTAGAAGACTGGTTTTTCAGCCCACAAAGTAGGGTTGCCTAGCCAAAGAGCGGTGATGTTCTTCAGTGAGACTGGCCGGTCGGGGAATGTGCTGCTACAGAACGGGCCTGTTAGCAGGAGCACCCGCTCTCCGTTACTGGCTGCTCAGGAGGTTTCTCTAGTTTGATGTCGATCACTGCAGGAGACAAGTTAGGGAAATCACCCAGTTCAAGGAGAGAAGAGAGAAAGGAATCAGTGTCTGAAAAGGTTGTTAGCTGTCCCTTGGCAAGGGCAGGTGTTTTGGCAGAGCAGAACATATCCTGCCTGAACAGGATTAACTGCAAAACCAGCGGATTGGGTATGTCAAGACCACCCAGAGGACAGAGCCCAATCGGACAGGTCTGCACACAAGACAGCCTCTGCAAAAAATGGAAAATACTATGGTATTATAAAATACGCAAATTTTATCCCAAGCTTAAGTGGAGAAAGCAAAACTCGTGCTTGCCGTTATAAGTAACTGGGTACATTCATACACGGACCGCAAGCAGGGTCCTCAATTTCTGCCTCTAGCTAAGCACCACAGTGTACTGGCTGGTTCAGCCACATCTCTGCAAAACCCCAGTCAGGCCCATCCCCACAATGTGCAAAAAAGTCAGTAAGCCCAACCTAACAAAAGATAATTGTCAAATTCTATGAGAACAGGAAAAGTTACTCATGAGAAAGCAAGGATACTGTCTTCTTTGCTCTTTTCTGGTGTGCTGTCCATCCCAGGTAAGGCAGCAGCCACACGACGGAAAAGCTGAAAAGTAGCAATAGGAAAGCTGAAGGCTAGTCAGAAAAAAAATGCATGTTACAAAACATTGTGTTACAGCAGATCTCAGAGTCCAAATTGTACAAGCTTTGTTATGTGGGTACTTCAGCAAGCAAAGAAATGACCAACAAATGTCATTAGAATTTTACCTAAGAAATTTAACAGGTTTTACTAAATAAATTATTCAATGCCTACAAAACAGTTTTATTTTTACCTGTTTCTACTTGAACAGAACATGGAATTAATTAGTAACTGTTATAGGGATGCACAAGAACAATTCCCTCCTGCACCCGCTCAGCACATCATCTACCATTTCCAGCCCCAACTGCTTTTGCACACAGCAACGTTACAGTGCACAGCTCTAACTTCTGATGAGCAACCTCGCGAGAGACTGAAGGCTTAAGAAGCCTACGGCACCAACTGAGGTTTTACCGCCCATCCTTTCAGTTCAGTCCTGGTGCAAACCAGCCATTTCTGAGCAGAACAGCTGGCTCAAGTGAGCTGCAATTAAGCCATTAAAGATGTGCTAGAGCTGGGAAGGACTATCATATCCCCATAAAAAACCAGAAAATGGTTTTGCATATTTTTTCAAGTCAACACTTAGAGCTCCTCCTGCTGACATTAATGCAGCAGCTAACACAACGCAGACACTGCTAGGCAGCCTGGTGAAAAGTGCTGCAGAAAGAACTAGAGGAATCATCAGCTAACAATGATTTTTCTTGTCTTTAGAACAGAACATTCATCTACCTGTTTCACATTGTATCCAGTCTTTGCACTGGTCTCAATAAACATCACATTCAGCTCTTTGGCTCTCTGTTCACCTTCTTCTGTAGTGATTTGCCTGGATAAAGACGCAAAAAGAAGCAGAAAGACAGAAAGGAAGAACAGACAGAAGAGTTAGAGATGTCCGTGACTGAGACGCTCATCAATGAAGGGTGGCTTCACCGCCCCTTAAAAGGGTGCGGAGTCCACCAATGCAGACCTCAGCACCTCCGAGTCTTTAAGACCCCCAGGTCCGCCAGCTAATAATGAAACAACCTCAGATAAGTCACCCAGGGAACGCCTGGACTTTTGACTATTAACTACAGATGATCAGCATGGGATGAAGTTTGTGCAGCACATTTGAGCCTCATTCACAGCATCCTCAAGGAAAGGTAGAATCCCCCTGTGCTGCACCTGATACAAAAAGCAGTTTCCCAAAAGTCACCAGAAGGGAACTCTGTGAGGTTACAGAAAGATTTCAGAAAGGCTCCATCAGCGAGGACAGCGCAACAGCAAGTGCTAGGCTGCTGCTTCTGAGCAAGCACCTGCAACTGCATCTCTGATCAACACCCTATACATACCTGTTCGACATTACATCCTGCTTTAGCACTGGTTTCAATATACATCATAGTCAGTTCTTGGGCTTTTCTCTCACCCTCCTCTACAGAAACCTGTCTACAGCAATGAGAACAAATCACAGAAAAGAAAAAGCAAAACAAAGAAAAAATTGTCCAAAAATGATAAAAAGAAAACTGCAGGAAAAAAACAGCCACCAACTGAAGGAACATTAACAGGAAAGAAAAACTTAACAGGCTGCACCAAGTAAGAACAGTGCTATTTTTAGTCCAGCTTTTTGGCCTCAGAACTTAACTTGCATCATCACTTGGTTGTTACCATAGGATGAATGGCTCCCACTGTGCTGCATTATATTTTAAAGAATGCGACCAGGATCAGACTGTGGTTTTGTCCAGCCTTGAAAGGCCAAGTATTTCAGTTTAACACAAATCTAACTTCCCTTTAAAAAAAAGGCAAGGCAGTTTCTTTTACGGATATCTCGATACGCACCACTATTCCAAATTCTAGCCTAGACCAGGACTACTGTCACATTAAACTTCTAAAATAAGAGTTTCTAGTGCTACATGAACTTCAGCTGTAGCTACGTTTCAGTTTTCCGGTATTTTTAATTCTTATGGCAGTACTGGGCCAGCTGTCCTGCACACACACTCCACTTATGTCCTATCAGGAAATAATCCAAGGCTGAAATTATCCCACTGGGTTTTCCAGCTCCACACGAAATTAGATTTTCACAGAAATTAGAAAGCCTCAAATCTAAACGCCAGGTTATTCAGTTAGGGAGCTGTAGTTATTTCTAGCTCCCAGGAGGGCAGAAGAGGTACTAAGTGGTCCACATCCAGAGTTGGCTCAAGTAGAACATCTCGGATTTTGCTCAGTTGCTTTTGTAAGCTGATTTCAGAGACCAGACTGATCTGAGGTCTTGCCACCTGGAATTCTTATCCCAAATCAGCTATACACATTTTGATCATTTCTGAAACTCTGAGCACCAAGTTTGACCAATATTTCCAAAGCCCAAGCCATGGGATACTTAGCACAGCCTCCCAATGGAAGTGGGAAAAGCCAAAGAGTTGTCAAGGCTAAGGTGGTCTGCGTGGAGGACAGAGAACACACTCTGTCAGTACCGTCAGCATAAAGTCCACACAGTGCCTAGTTAGAGCCCAACTTCATCCCCTTTCCCCACTGACTCAAACCACTTGGCAATATTAGAATTGTCTGTGCTTTTCCTGCTAGGCATGACAAACTAAAACCAGCATGACTTGTACAGGGACAAGGGCAAAAAAGCATCTCCTGACACCGAACTGTGCTGCCAGGGGTGCTGGCTATCAGCTCATACGAGCATTCAGACAACACCAAAAACCACAAGGGAAAAAACACATCGCAATACATTCTGAAGCAATATGTACACTGCAGGAGTGAATAAAGCAAGGTTTAGAATTTAAAATGTGATCGCATCCAATAGTGAAACAGTCAGATTCCTATTAGGCCCATCATCCCAAGAAACTGTTTAAACAGGCAGCTCAGATAATAGTGCAAGGTTTTTCTGAGGAAACATTAATGTTCTGTCTGTGAGGCTTTTCAAGCTGTTCTCTTCTGATCAGAAGTGTCTCGTGAACAGACAAAGGATAAGGGTTTCATTTTATAAGCTACCATCTCACTGTGAGATACAGGTGTTTCCCAGTTTGGCTTTGTTGAGATGCCTGCTTTTGCATCAGATAAAAATTCCCCACCACTTTCATGCTTCAAATGTCCTATGACACAAGAAGCACACGTTTTAGAGTACCCGCTGCATGTGAAGATGTTAAACTATCAGGATTGTAAGGAACTAAGTGGCTTACTTCATCTTCCCTTTGCCAACTACTAACTACTAACCATGCCACTAACCATTAAAATTAAAATAAAAATCTTCCTTATCTACACTGTTTTTGATGTCTTTATAAAGAATGAAAATCTCTGCAAACATTCAATAATTTTTTAGCTAAATCAACAATCAAGAAGAATTTGAAATAGAAATGCAAGAGCACAAGCCCATGGTCTTCTAAGAAGCTACTGCATTGGTTCTGCTGGTTGAAGTGGCATTGCAGGATTAAGAATTTCAAAAGTGAAATGCTTTATGGCATGTCCCAAAACATTAAGTCCGCATCACTTTAAGAGTCTAATTAACTTTTTACATTTCTTGGGAAGTCTGCTTTTGCTAATCTACTTTCCTCTCATATATCCAGTATATCACAGTTTGTGTTATGCATGACATTAAATTTATGCTCAGAGTGAAACCTTTTACATTTATACTGCAAAATCTCATGCTGCATCTTCTAACAAGAAGCAGCTTTACTACGAACTTAGTTGCACATGCAGAGTCATGTAAATGGGATTACTGAAAAAAGTCAATTTCCTTGCTTCTGAAAGACATCTTTTTGCCTTTTCTCAGCCTGAAAATAATAATCAGACAAAATACATGATTGAGAAACATGGTATAGAGATATTTAAATTAAGTGAAAGGATTTTTTTAGGCGAGTCTGGTTTAACCACAACTATTTCTAGAATACCAAAATGGAATAACTGCATATACTGCAATCAGAAGTCTGAATTTCATGACAACCTATTTATGCTTCATTTAAAAATCAACAATTGTTTTGAAGATAGACTAGTTGTCCAGTTCCTTTCTTTTACTGGTCAGGGCAGCAAAGCTGCCAGCTCCCCTCCATTACCTCTTGTCTGCCAGGTCAGTTTTGTTCCCCACCAACATGATGATCACATCGCTTCCTCTCTCTGTCCGAACATCATCAATCCACTTGGAGGTTTGCTGGAAAGAATTCAAGTCTGTAGGGA